GCACTCGGGCGGGCGGGAGAGAGCTGCGAAGGCGGGCCCCATGTCCAGGGCAGGGAAAAACAGCCTGTGTGCAGGAGCTGGAGCGTCTGGAAGGGGGCTGTGGGCGTGGGGGGATACACCGAGAAATGGCGGGAAGTGGGTGAGGTCTTGAGGTTTGTGCAAGGGTCACGCGAGCAATGCGAAAGGCCCTTGGAATGTGGGAGGGGACCTGGGACGGGGGATGTGGGGCAGTTAGGTATTTATGAGTAGGTGGGGTGCTGGGATGGTATCCGAGGGCATTCAGGGGACACAACAGTCTAGCGTCTTGTTCGGTTCGGTTGTACAGAGAGGGTTGCTAACAGCAGACATTGAGGGGCGGGGCAGAGGTGTACACGAGGGTTCGTAAATTGGGAGAGCCGAGTGGCATTTTGAAGGACACTTTTTGGGGTGCGGGGGGACGGGAGTTATGGGGCCACAGCGGCCTGCGGAGCTTAGGGTAACGTCTGTATTAGGAGAGCAGGGCTTATCTCGCCACGCACAGCCCGGGGAAGAGGGACTGCAGGGAGGGGCCCAGGACGCAGGGGGCCCCGGCGGCCCGGCTGGCGCTGGGCAGGCCCCGGGCGGGCACCCCGCGCGGACTCGGGGCGGGCACACGTCAGCACGCCGGCCGGCGGCGCGAGGCGGGGCGCCCCGGAGCCGCGGGAGAGAACGCCCCAGGAGCTGGGTGGGCGGCCCCCGACCCGCACCCCCGCGTTGCCGAGCAACAGCCGTTCAGTCCGGTTGCTGGGACACGCGTTGCCACGGCGACGGCTCCGCGGCGCGGTCAGAGTATTTAAAGGACTAGCGCGCTCCGCGTCTGGGCGTCGGAGAGCGGCCTTCCGGGGTTCCACGGTCCTGCCTTCCTCCCATCCCTTCCCGCCCCCTTTGCCCCCCAACTCTCTGACCTTCAAGGGAACCCACCTCCCAGCTCACCCCCGCTGGTTCCTCCGGAGGTGGGGAGCGGGATGCCGGCCCCGGGCGGGCGGGAGGGACGGGACGCGGTGCAGTGTTGTTCGTTGCCCCGCCAATATTGCACTCGTCCCGGCCTCCGGCCCCCTCGGACCCCCGGACCCCCTTACCCCGCGGGGCGGCTCCAGCCCTCCTGACTTTGAGCCCGGCTGATCTCGGACGGACTGGAGTGCTGCCGCCGCCGCCGTGAGTAAGTGGGGCTGGGCGGGCTTCAGCCGGCCTCCGATGGCACCTCTCCCCTCGCCTAACCCCACCTGGCGCCTTCCCCGCCCGCTGCCCAACTTCCCCGAGCTTTCCTAACTTCCCTCCGCCTGGGCCGCTCCCTGACCCCCACCTGTTCCCGCACACGAGGCCGGCGGCGCCCCCCGAAGTAGGCGAGCGCACGGGATTAGAAAACAACCGCGACTTTATGGCAGCGGGCTGCGATCTTTCCTGGGCAGTGAGCGCTTCGGGGGTGGGTGCCTGAGAAATGCCCCTGGACATCTTGCCCTTCTCAGCCCCTCTGCGGCGCAACCACGCCTGATGGGCACGCGGAAGGAGAGTCTGTGTGTGGCAGCGTGTGGGGCTGTAGATGAGAGCCCCCGGGGTCTCCAGGGCGGATCCCAAGGGTCTACAATCAGGACTCTGAATCCGCTGGAGGCCACGTCACAGCCTTCCCTGGAGCAGCTGCCTCCGGAGTGGCTCAAAGTCCTCGGGCACAGTGTCTGAGGAAGGGGAGACGGAAGGTCAGGGCACGGGGCTTCTCCAGCAGGGCTGGATCGCAGGCGTCTCTGGATCTGGAGCCTCACCATTGCATCGGTACTGGAGGTTGGACCAAATGATGTTTTCCTGGGAGAAGCAGAATACGCCGAGACGCCCCCCTCGCATGGATGTGTCAATGATCACCCCAGAGTCTGCCACCAGCTGGGAACCCTCATAGAGCTTCACCCTGTCCAGGAAAGGGGTGTCCACTGGTGCTGGGGAGCCTGTGGGCGCAGCAGCACGGTGCTTGGCCCTGCTAGTTTCCAGCCCCCAGGAGCTCACAGGCCCCGGAGAGAAGGGTGGGTGGGGGGAGGGCAGGGTGCTTTTTCTCAGGCCTGGGGCCCCAGGCTCTTTGTCCGACCCCCTTTGCATCTCAAAGCACAAGCCGCATTTCTAGCTGGGATTGGGTTGCCATGACGATGAGCACAATGGGCTCGGGAGTGAAGTCACCAGGCTCCCAGGCTCCAGTCCACCTCTCCCTTATCCCCTGCCCTGGCCTCCCACAGCCCCCATGCACCTTAAAGGGGAACCAACCCAGATTCCTGGACTCTCGAGTTCTGGACAGTGGGAATTCCAGCCTCCAGGCAGACCTGCCTCCTCTCCCATCCTGGCATCAGCTTTTTGCCTGTGGCAGTGCCACCTCCCCACCTACTAGAGCCACTAGTCCCAGGGAAATGCAGAGTGGTGGCCAAAATGCCTGACTGCCCGCCTTAGCGGGTGCACCAGCCTGGCTCTTTGGTCTGGCAGGAGCCAGACTTAGTGAGGTGAGCTTTTGACTGGACCGTGGAAGGGGCAAAGAGCCCTGGCAGTGCAGGGGGCAAGCGCTGGGCTGCCTACCAAAAGTCTGTCAGTTCAAATCCACCAGCCACACCTTGTGAGACAGATGAGGCTGACTGCTCCCATAAAGACGTAAAGCCTCAGAAACCCTACGTAGGACTGCTGTGGGCCGGAATCATCACGGTGGCAGTGGGGTTGGGAATCGAAGGGGCTGGGTGCGATGGGACCCTCCACAGATTAGCTGTGGTTTGTAGAACCCTAGAGGACCACAGAGGACATTGAGTTCCAGCCCAGAAGGGCTTGCCAGCCAGTGCCCAAGCGGCCTGCCATCTGCAAGAATACAGCACTAAGGTGTGTCTGGTAAATGGACGAGGGAGAGAAGCAGTCGTGGCTCGGCCTGCAGTCCCAAGGAATGAAGGACAGGTAAGGTCATGGTGAGTCTCCACTGAAGGAGAAGGAACAGCCAGGCCTGGAAGCCCCCAGGAAGGCTCGGCCCTTCCCCTCACCGAATGTAGCCGACTTGAGGCCGGTGCAGCAGTTGCCAGCGGTAGGAGGTCTTATCTTGCCAGCCCACGTTTCGTGGGTCAGTCCACAGCAACCGCACTTGGTCGGGGGTATGACCCGTATGCCATAGGGCATTCCGGAGGTGCTCGCCTGGCCCAGACACTGATGTCACCGCCTGGAGGTGGGGGTGGGAGGATGACGAAGACAATGTGATGAAGGGCCACAGTGGCAGGGTGGAGGCGGGAGACACCAGGGCAGGTGGGGAAGGGCTCAGGATGCAGAACGCAGGGAGGTCTTAGGGTGAGGGGGGACATGGGAACGGGTTCTGGGCGAAGGAGTCTGGGTAATTGGAGGACCTTCAGCTGCAGTCCGGGCTGGGCGACAGCCCGGAAGGGTGTGGCCTGCCAGTAGGTCTGCTCCGTCTGCTTCCACATGACCACGTAGAACCGGCCACTGTCCTGGTAGCTGAAGAGAAAGCCTGCGTAGTCGTCATCCGTCACCGTGTTCACGTGGAAGGTACCTTCAAAGTCCACGCCGTTGAAGGCTGTGTATCCTGGGGGTGGGGAGGGGGCAGTCGGAGCAACAAAGCTGCTGATGGCCGAGAGAAGCAGCTCCCCGCTGGGGTGCGGGGCATGCCTGCGCTGCTTGTGGCCAACTTGTTGCCCCACCTCCGCTCTCCCCAGCCTCCCTGCCCGTGGAGGGCTTCTCCACCCAGAACTCATGTGAGTGGGTATCCCTTACATACCAACTGCCAGGCCAGGGTCACTGTTCATGGTCTGAACGATTTCCATGCCCTGGGGGTAGATGGTAGAGAAGGCCTTGGTACAGGTGCCCCCACCCAGCCCGGGGGTCTCACTCCGAGCCCACTGCCCTGAGTACCTGGTTGAGCACGACCCAATTTGGGTCGATCTGAGCATCTCCCTCCGGGTCCAGAACAACGGTCTGATAGGCCCGGAAGTCTGTGAGGGTCACCTCTGCGCTCTCTGGACAGACGTCTAGAGGGTCGACCACGGCGTCATTGTCAAAGTCGTCCTCACAAACGTCTCCTACGCCATTGCCTGGGCAGGGGGGTGGGGTGCTCAGGGAGGCCCTGGTGGTGGCTCGGTCCCCTGCCTCACCCCGCCCCTCTCCCCAGCAAAGCCTGTGGCCTTGGCAAGAGCCACCCCGTGCAGCCTTACCGTCAGAATCCTTCTGGTTGGGGTTGGGTACCAGGCGGCAGTTATCGGGACCGGGAGGCACGTAATCCGGGATGCCGTCGTTGTCATCATCTCCGTCGCACTCGTCCCCCAGCCCGTCGTTGTCAGAGTCCAGCTGGGAGCTGTTGGGCAGCTGTGGACAGTTATCCTTGGTGTCCTGATGCCCGTCCCCATCACTGGCCGAGAGAGAAGGCCCCAAATAAGAGGGTCAGAAGCCACCAGCTCACCCCGCTTTGGACCACTGGGATGTCTCCCGCAGGCCTGTGGTCAGCCCAATGGGATGAAGGGGAGGCCACGGGAAAGACCCCTACTCCACCACGGTGGAGAAGGACGGCTGAGCTCTAGCAGGAGCTGAGCAGGCAGGAGGAAAGGAGACACCCTGATGAAGCCTTCTGAAGTCCCCTGGCCAGGACCCTACCTGTCTTCATTGGTGTCACACACATCTCCCACCAGGTCACTGTCCGCATCTGTCTGAGAGAGGGGCCTGTTCTCACGGGGCCACTTTCCACCCCAAGGGCTGGGGTTTCATCCGCCAGTCTGCCCTCCCGCTGCCCTTTCCAATCCCCTGTACCTGGGTAGGGTTGCTTATTTCAGGGCAGCTGTCGCAAGCATCTCCCACGCCATCCTCGTCCCTGTCTGTCTGCAGGGGGTTGGGGACTTTAGGGCAATTGTCCAATCCATTAGGGATGCCTGGAACACAAGGGGGCAGCGCAAAGTTATGACCAGAACGCAGCACACACTTCTAGCCCGGCGGAAACCCAAGCTTTGGCTCCTCACCTGCCCACAAGGCGACTGGCCAGGAGTCTGCCCTAGGCCACACCCTGCGACCTCCCCGCTTCCAAACCACCTTCCCCTCCACTGACATGCGCTCCTTGGCCCAGGCCACATCCACGAGCACTCCCCCGTGGCGCTCTCAGACGTCCTAGCCTCCCTGATCACTACCCCTCCCTCCCTCTGTCCTCCCAGCCGCCCCAGGCCCGCACCATCGCCATCCACATCGTTGTCACAGGCATCTCCTTCCCCGTTGCCGTCCGTGTCCTTCTGGTCGTTGTTGGGGACGTTGGGGCAGTTGTCACAGGCGTCTCCGAAGGAATCTGTGTCTGAGTTCTGCTGGTCCTTATTGGGGAGCAGCCGGCAATTGTCCTAGGCAAGGAGAGGGATGGGGTCAGGAACGCCAGATTCCCACGAACCACTGGACACTTTGTTCCTGTCCCCCTAAAGTCCCCACTCCTGTGAGGGCCAGGCTGCTTGGCACGGCCACGCCCACCCAGCCTGCATGCAGCCCACCTGACGGGGCGCCAGTCAGGTGTCTAATTCAGAGCGGGGCTGCAAAGACTTCCTTAGCTCAAGACCCCGCTGCCAGAAGCACCTCGGATCCACAGCGCATTGGGTTTCGGATTCGTTTTTGGTCGCTGTGCATTCAGAGGTTTTTTCCCCCAATGCCCACATCAGGTACGGGACCCCTGTGGGGCCGCAACCCGGGTTAAGCAGCAGCTTCGAACAGCACTGGGGCTCCCTCCCCAGAGAGCAGCCTAGAGCCAAAAGAGCAGCAAGGACGGACATGAGGTGCAGGGAGGACAGAGGGAGTCACCTCGACATTCTTGATGCCGTCCCCGTCGGCATCGTCGTCACACTGGTCCCCCACGCCGTCGTTATCGGCATCTTCCTGCCCCGAGTTGGGCGTCAGGAGGCAATTGTCCTGAAGGTTCCGAAGAAGATGACGGCTGGCTGAGTTGCAGCTGGGGCCCCGGCCCCTGGCCGCCCACCCCCGGTGCCCCCACCTGCTTGCAGTGTTTGTTGTTGTCCATGCAGGGCAGTGCCTGGTCCGGGTAGCCATCGATGTCTGTGTCGGGCCCACACACGTTACCATTTCCTGCCCAGCCCACGTTGCACTGTGCAGCACAGAGAGGGGTGTCAGCAGGCTGGGCTCGCTCCCTGCTCCCCGCCCCCATTGCTCCAGGCTGAGCCAGACCATGTCCTCTGGCTCTGCCTGGCCCCCTCCCAGATCTCCTGACACCCTCCAAGCCCTGGGTCCAGCTCACCGAGCAGGAGACTGCGCCATTGCGTTCAAAGAGGCAGTGAGCGTGGACGTGGCAGGGGCTGTGGGCCGGGCTTTGGCAGGTCCTTGCCGGCAGGCAGCCCTGGCTCTGGTTGCCCAGGAAACCCAGGCGGCAGGGCCCACACTTGAAAGAGCCCTAGGAATGGGAAGCAGGACTCAGAAACTGCTGGCCTGGCCCCCAGCACAGGATCCACTTGAACGTGTAGGGCGGCCCTAGGCCATCTACCGGGAATGTCTCCTTCAGGGTCCCATTTCTCAGAAAGGGGAATGGCAGTGACAGCAAGAGCCATGTGAAAGAGCTGCTGGCAGTGCTTGACGCCCCTGGGGAGAGCCCCTGCCTGAGAAGCCCTGGGCTGCTAGCTCACCACGGTGTTGGTGCAGACGGAGTTAGGGTCGCAGCCACCATTGTTGCCGTCATTGCACTCGTCGACGTCGCTGCAGACCTGAGGAGACAGACTGGGCATGGAACCAGAGCTGGGAGAGGGCTCAGGCCCAGAGAAGACCCTGAACACAGACGCCAAGTCCAAAGCCACCAGCCTCCTCTCCCGAGTCCAACCCAGAAGGCCCTGGGAGGCGCCCTGCCCAACCTGACCTGTTTGCTGGCCCTGGCATAGTCGATGCCTACGCCGGAGACCTGCGTGCCCTTGTACCCTCGAGGGCAGGCCTCACAGTGGAAGCCAGGCAGGGTGTTGATGCAGTTGGAGCCCGGGAAGCAGGGGTCCGAATGAGCACACTGGGGACCAGAAGAAGAGCCGGCAGTGAGGAGCCTCCTGGGAGCCCAGCCCTGCCTCTTTGAACTGTCCCTCTAGCCTTTGCCTCTGATCACCCTTCTCTGCAGCTCTCCCCACCAGGGACACACCCCCTCCCACTGCCAGGTGGTCTGTCCCATTCCTCCTACCCTTCCACCCAGCTCCTTCCCTACTGGCCCCTGGCCTTTGTTTTCTGTCTCCCCTGTCCCGCCCCCTCATGTCCACTGGGGTCTCCAGCCTCTCTGAGCCTTGCAGCCTCCACTTCCCACAAACATTCATCCCACCCTCCCAGCGCTCAGCCACACGCACCTCATTGATGTCGGCACAATGGGTGCCGTTGCCCTGCAGGCCGGGCGGGCAGGGCCCGCAGCGGTAGCCGGGGTACTCGTACACCTCCATGCAGTCCACGCCTCGGAAGCAGGGGTTGGGGCTACAGTGGGACCGCTGCTCATGGAAGCCTGGTGGGCAGGCAGAGTCAGGGCCACCCCAGGGCACTGCGCAACTCACCACGAGGGGGAGCCAGCCGGCGCGGCAGGGTGGGAAGGCCGCGATGCCACCTGTAGCCCGGCCCTGCTCTCCCACTCACCGCACACCTGACACTCCATGATGGTGTTTCGGATCAGGGACATTTCCTTCACCTGGAGGGAGGGGGGGGTGGGTGATCAGCTGTTGGCATCTACCACCCAACCCCGGCATTGGGGTCTCCCTTCGTTGTTGGCCCACCCCTGACCTGGTCTCGGATGTCATCACGCAGCTCCACCAGGATCTGGTTGAATACGGTGAGTTGGGTGACCAGCGCCTTGGTCTGCTCCCCTGTCGGGGTCCAAGGTGTGGAGAGGCTCAGAAGCAGGGGGCCATGGCCCCAGCCCCTCCCTGCCACCGATGCCACCCCTGGGCATTAAACCCCACTCACCTAGGATGGAGTGGAGGGCACTGGACACTGGAGGCCAGAAGAAAGCAGTCAGGGAGTGGCGAGGAGGAGGGACAGAGACAAAGGGACAGAGGCTTGGCATAAAGCACAGAGAAAGGGCAGCGGGGGTGGGGGTGGGGAGGCCAGCGAAGGCTCAGGGCCCTGCAGCTAGACAACGCAGCCAGGCTCCTCTGGGTTCTCCCATAGTGGCCACCCAGAGGTCCACAGGAGAGCTGACTTGGAGCACGGCCACCACCAAGACCTTCCCATGGCCTTCCTCCAGAGCTTCCACCCCCCGAGGGCTCTCTCTGTGGACTATCTGGGGGAAGTAGGACCCACTGCCTGCTGTAGAGAGCAGGTGCACAGTGGGCCATGCTCAGCGAAGGGGTGGGAGCCTGCAGCTCAGCCACCTCATACTTCCTCCCTTGGGCGGTCAGGCAGGATAACCTCAACAAGGGGGTTTGTGTCACCCACCCCTCCTGCGATGGCTATGTTTGGAGTGATGGACCTACGGCCCCAGGAACAGGAACAGGGCCAAGGCATGGTGGTCCCGGAGGACCCCAGAAAGAATGTCAGCTCACCCCTTCCCGTATTACCTGCACTATGGATGGACTCGTCCCCCTGGAACGGACACTCACTCAGGGCTCCCACGCGGGCCATGGACCCGCCCAGGATCATCTTCATTGACTCCATGAAGCCCTGGGGTTGAGGACGACAGGGGTACCAGGGAGCAGGATATGTCAACTCCTCCAACAGGGCCACAGGGTTTCCTCAGAAGCAGCATCCTCCCGTCAGCCTCACCTGCACCCTCAAGTAGGCTTTCTGTCCAGTCCGAATCTCTAGCCCAGCAACCTCTGCTGGGGGGATGGGCGCAAGTGGCGGGAGGCCCGAGTGCTGGTCGCCCAGTTTGCAGTCCACATAGAGCTGCAGTGCAGGGCCTGGCCGGGACGGCCCTCGGAGGCGCAGGAGAGCTGTGTGGGTGCGGCCGTCAGCCAGGCCTGCTTGCTGGAGGTTCACCGCATGGACCTTGCCATCCTCCCGCTGGTACCGCACCAGCACTGCCCAGGAAGGGAGATCAGTATGGGCACTGCCCGCTACACCCCATCTCCTAGTTGAGCCGTAGGTCCATTCTTTTCCGAACACCTCGTCTCTAGGCAACCTTCCCTTCCTCTAATCTACCTCTCTCTGCAGGCCTTGGTTACAAACTCCCAAAGTCACTGCCAAGCCAGTCCATGCCGGCTCACAGCGCCCCTACAGGACAGGGTAGAACTGCCCTTGTGGGTTTCTGAGACTAACCATTTGTGGGAATAGAAAGGGCCTGTCTTTCTCCGGAAGAGAGGCTGGTGGTTTCGAACTTCTGACCTTGTGGTCAGCAGCCCAACGTGTAATCACTAGGACCCCCCCCCCCAAGGACTTTGTACAGGTGGGCTAACTAGTGGAGGGTTTGAGACTGCACTTTTCCTGTACAGTGTACCAGGTCTTTCCATATACCCCCTAGGAAGGCAACTAGCTCTGTGCCCACTGGCCTGTCCCAGGGATTGGAGGGGCCTCTCTGAATCTTGGGGTCATCAAGTACAACATCCCACTCCTCAGGGGCCAGGCTTTGCCCTGCCTTTGGGCTCCCTGGCCTCCTGAGGCATCACAGCAACACTTCCCACCAGCACCCTGCCCCACAGGGGAGGCCCAGAGAATGAGGAGGGGCCCCAGGAACAGGAGGTGGGGGGGTCAGTTTCAGGGAAGGAGCGCTTGGGCCAGTCAGTCACCTTTGTTGATTTTGCCCACGACCGAGGCCTCCAGCCACCGCGTGTTGTCCTGGCGAGAATAGAGACCAAAGAGCACCCCACCCTGCTTGGGGGGCAGGCGGAAGGTGGACAAGAGATAGATGTCGTCGGCAGTGAGCAGGGCCTTCCGGATCTTCTCTGCCACAGCCGTCATCTGCCGGGACTCCCCCATAGTCAGCAAGTCGAGGACTGTCAGGCAGGGGTGTCGAGGTTGGGTAACCCAGCCCTCACCCTCCCCTCCCACCTCCACCAGCATTAGTCACCTTCTCACTCAACTCTGGTCTGGTCCGGGGGCGCCCTGGGCTACCACCCTCAGGGGACCCACCCAAGGGAGGTCCACTTGAGAACGTGGACGCACAGTGCCCCTGCGAACTTGAGGTGCCTCCACCAGGTGGCGCAAGGGAGTCGCGGTGGGATCCCCGGCAGGGGTGGCACCTGGTGCCCCGCAGCGCAGAAATGGGAAGCCAGCTTCTTTCCACTGTAGGGTTTGGCTCTTTCCACAACCCAGTGCCCCTCCTCCCATGCTAGGGGCCCAACACGCTGGCTCAGAGTGAGAACAGCTGCCCACTGAGGGCTCCAGCCGCCCTCTGGCTGGGCTTTCGCCCACGGGAACGTAGGACCCAGCCCCTCTGCCTCCTGCGTCCTGGCCAATCTGTGGTCGCCCCTTCAGCTAGCAAAGAATCTCTGTGTCATCCGCTCTGGCCACCTCTCCCACCCCTCCGGGGCCCATCCCACCACCAGACCTCCCGGGGAGCCTGCCCAGACCTCTCAGTCCCCACCCCAACTCCATCCCAGGGCGACCTGGAGCTGGGGGACTTGGGAGCCCAGAGTGCAGACAGTGCAGTCACCTTGGAGCTGCCCTTCCAAACTCTGGGGTGCCTGCGGATGGCGGGGAGCCCCAACCCCAGCATCCATCTCCTGAGTTCTCTTGCACCAGCCTCATGACCCCGCCTGGCCAGCTCCCGCCACCCCACCCCCACCGCCCAGCCCTCCCCACCGGACGGACTCTAATTCCACCAACTCTAGGCAGGATAACACTTTTCTCTGGCTCATTTCCAAGACGCTTCCTCCTTCCCCTGGACCATACGTTCCCTGCTACCCCGGGCGAGAGGCACACAGAGCCATCGGGGAGCGGTCAAAGTGGACGAGGCAGGCTTACCTTGCAGGTCCTGACTGGCAGCTGCGAAAGAACAGAGGAGGAGGAGAGCCAGGGCCCCCCGAAGTTCCTGCGTCTCCATGCCGCTCGGCCGGCTCACTACCCCTGGCAGGCGGGCGGCTGGGAGGGGAAAAGGCTAGGCGGAGAGAGCCTGAGAGGGGGGCGGAGGGATGGGGGGAGAGCCGAAGGGGGGGGCCAGCAGGCGGGTGAGGGGGGGCTGAAACAAAGAGCTGCCAATCACCCTGGAGGCATCCCCAGCTCCCGGAACCAGGGGTCCTGGGAGAGCATCCTGGACCCTCTCCCCTAGTGCCAGTCTCCTCCAGCATCCTCTCTTTCGAGGGGGTCTAGGCGCACAGCTCTACCGAGTGCTACTGTTTTCTGGAAGCCACAGCTGAGGACGGCAGGGGCGCCTGGCAGAGCAGTGCGACGGTGGGCATTATTCCACAGCGGGCCTGCCAAGGGAGCGGCTGACACTAGCTTGCCTAGTGCCCAGGGGATGCCCACACGGCATGAAACTGGCCGCTCTCACAGAGCACGTCCTCTTGATTGGGGTGGGGGATCCCCCGACATGTGCCTGTGCCTCCATTTCCCCTCATTCCTGAGCACACTGGAGTCTGGAAAGCGTCCTGTGGGAGGTAGGAGGAGGGTCGAAAACGCCGGTCAGGGAGGTCAGAGTGAATAAATCGGAATAAACCAGCAGGAGAGGACAAGGGCTAGGCCAGGAGCCACTAGGGTGCACTGGTGGGGGGGTGGGAGGG